CCTAACAGAGCAATTTGCTCTCAATCTGCAGGTTTAATAGTGTTTCCAAGAATTTCTAAAAATAGAATGGGAGGCAGATCTTTTAGTTATCAGGCTCCTCTCCTGTGGAACCAACTACCAGTTTTAGTCCGTGAGGCAGACATCCTGTCTACTTTTAAAGCTAGGCTTAAAACTTTCCTTCTTCATAAAGCTTATATTTAGAGTGGCTCAGGTTATCCAGTGCTATCTCTATAGTTATGCTGCTATAGGCTTAGACCGCTGGAGGACATAGGCACTCCCATTTCATCACTCTGCTTTATTTTATCTCTATTCTCCCACTCTGCAGAATCTGTTAGTTCGATCTCTAACGTTATGCTCTCTCTGCTTTTTCTCATAGTAGCTTTGCCTCGTCTGTTCCTGTTTGGCTAGGACACCATCCTGGAGAGAAACATCAGCTGTGCTGCTGCCATCAACACCTTTGTTTATAGATGTTGGCCTGTTTTCCAGTGTAGTCCTGTTTCTCTGACTGTGACTGGCTGGATGTGTTCTCTTCATCCTTTGACATGGGAGGTGGCTCGGAACTCGTCTGCCTGGCTATGTGTTTCCTGGACGGGGCCGCCTTTTACAGCTGCTTTTTGTATCTCTGCTTCTGTCTCCTTGAACCCCAGTCGGCATCGACAGATGGCCGCTCACACTGAGCCTAGTTCTGCTGGAGGTTTCTTCCTGTTAAAAGGGATTTTTTTCTCTCTACTGTCGCTACAAGCATGCTTAGTCTGAGAGATTGCATTTGAGTCAATGAGTCGATGCAATCAACTGGTTTTCCTTAGAAAGAAAGCTTTGAATCAATTTGACTGTATGATCTGGTGAACTGTAAAGTGCCTTGAGATGACATGTGTTGTGAATTGGCGCTATAGAAATAAAGTGAATTGAATTAATGTTTTTCAGACTAATTAATGGTAAATGTGACAAAATTTAGACTAGTCAGAATTTCAATGGAAATATCTGAAATTGCTATTTATTTAACCCTTGTCTAAATATAAATAGATATCTCTTAGTGAACTACTGCATCTAGTTCGATCTGGAACGTTAGTGTGGTAAAGCTGATTTTATGTTAAAACGGCCTGCCATATCCGGGTTGTTCTCAGGCAGGCAGTGTCGGTGGTGGTAGTGGCGCTGCAGCTGCCAGCTCACACTTCCACCGAGAAGCTGAGGTCAAACTTGGCTGTCTCTCATTTCTCTGTCTGTGACCGGGGCCGCATCATCACCATCATCATCACCATCATCATCATCATCATGGCGGATCAAGGCGAATCTCCGAATATCGTCCACCATCCGCAGCCTACAGCCAGCTGGCCAATTACCAGGGAGTCCTACGAGCTGCAGGGAGTTATAGGTTAGTACCCGGAGATGCGGGGTTGTTATGGTGCGGAAGCAGCAAAGGGGTACGTTGTGTCGTGAACGAAGGAGAAGGGGCCTACCGGCTTTTTTCTTTATAATAAATAAATAAAACATTTTGTATGCAGCCTACTCTCCGTGCTTTGAAATGCGGATGTAACTGCCGCTGACGGAGTCCACAGTGGATCTGCGCAGACAAGGCGGAATCAGTGTCTCTGCACCGGGGTATAAATGTCACATTGAATACAAGCAGGCACGGATTAAAGAGCCCAGAGCTGAAGAGATCGGCTACAAGTTTATTAGTTGTTACTGAAATCACAGTGTGTGCGCCCTTCCTCTGCTGGCAGAGAACACATCAAATCATCCCACATTAGAGAGGTCTACCATGGAGTTTTTAAAATGAACTAACTTTCCAGCTAGTGCTAAATGCAAAAACGTTTCAGTGTCAATAATATTATTAATAATTATACTATAACATAAATCAAACATAATTTCCAATGCAACTGCATTTTTCTTCCCTTTATAAAGTATGGGATTTTTTTTTTGAAGAACAGAAAAAACACAAATCATATAATTGTATCATTAAGTTTGTGATAGCATTTTATAGTTTGTAGATTGAATTCATAAGTGTTTAAAGTATTTCCATTCTCCCTGCCGGAACATAAAGAATTCAAATGTGACTAAAATGTGTAATTATACAAATAAAATAGCAGCATCCATTTTTTTTCCACTTTTAGTTGAATTTGGCCATAGTATTTCATCATTGTGTTACAACTTATTTATTGCATGCATCAACCTTTATTTGGATGACAAGTCATCTGCTCTATTATGGCATTCCCAAAACATGTCATAACATGATTATGCTACTCAAAGCAGCTATTTAGATGTACACAAGCTCCTTCTTCTCACTGTTTGACATAAAACAGACTAAAGTATACCTGTTATAGGTTAATTAAGATTATGATTTATTTATATTTGTTAAATGATAGAGTAATGCAATTAATTTTTAAAATTCCATTATTTTGACCGTTTACAGGCTTACAAGGAGTCCACTTATCTTGCAAATGTAGCCATTCATTAAGGGTAAAGACTAAAATTCTAGTTTTTAACAGGATATTTATATGTCTTTGAAAATGAGAGTGCATTCAGGAAGAGTAATCTGTCTTTTTATGTTGCTTTTGGAATATTGGCTTCTTCTTCTATGAGCGGCTTTTCAGGATATGTCAGTATAAAACTTATTTCACTGCTGATGTCATGCTTTATCCAGCATCTCTACATGGTAGACATGTAAGAATGAGGAAACTGTCAGATTTTTTGCGGAGTCTCTGCTTCATATCTTTGCTGATTTCCTGTCATGATCCAAGACAAGGAAGTGGTTTCGTAGGGATGATGACCTGAAATGTTTCCACAGCTCTGCCTTCACCATCTAATGTTAATGAAATAATCAGAAGCTTAAAACCCATAATAATGTAATCTCTGCATTCTTAGATTGGTGATTTGTAATTTGAGTGTGCAGATATTTTAGAAATTAAAACTCTGTATGAATCCCTCTTATTGTGCTGGTATGTAGAGATTGTGTGACAGTAAACTTCCTGTTTCATTAAAACAGGAAAAGGTTATCAGTTGAGATAAACTCAAATTTTCCTCTCTCACCTGTGTCTCATTTTTCACTATATTGCTTCCAGCTATTTCTGTGACCTCTGCTGTCTTGGTACTGTCATCTGTGTCATGTGTCTCTACAGTGAGCGCACTCCATCCAACAGGTGGAGGATATTATTGGCATGTAAAGTCTGAGTTTCTGACATTTGTAATATGAAAGCTGACAGATGCTACATGCAGAACAATCCTTGGCTATGCCTCTATTATACTCTCTGATTTAGCAAGAAGGACATCTTTGAGATGCTGGGTTCAGATCACTGTGTTTTCCATTTTACACTTAGGGATTTGCACAAGGGGCAAAAAGTTACATTTTGGTCTCATTCAGTCAGAACACAATCGTTAACCCTATTCTCTACATGCCTTTTGGCAAACCTTACACAGAACCTCTTATGGTGAATCTTCCACAAAAGCCAGATAGTTTTCCTGTCAACAGATTGTACCACCTGAGGTTTTGAGCTTTGCAGCGACTCCAACAGTACTAAAAGGCCGCTTCTCTGAATGATGTTCTGCTTTTCTGGCCTGTCAATTCATGTGGAGATTTTGTTCTGTCCTCATGACGCTGTTTGCTCACTAATGTTCTCAAACAAACCCCTGAGGCCTTTTCAGTGGGATTTATACAGAGATAAGATTACATTAATGTGAACTATAACTACCTATTAGTGGACTTCTGAAACTAACTGGCTGCACTGGAATTAATTTAGGATGTTACATTAAAAGGAGATAAACGTTTATCTCAAATACTCTGGTAAACTTTAATTATCAAAGAATAGAAATACAAAAATGCATCACTCCTTAATTAATGCACTCCTGCATGTTGGTTTATCAAATGAAATCAAAGTTGAATGCAAAGTTTGCAGTTGGGCCTTTGTCATGTTAGAAAACCTGTGGAGTTGGTAAGGAGTTGTAGAAGCTGTCCGTCATTGTTCTCACACACAGCAGTCACATCTCACATGACATAAAGCATGCCTTATCTGCCAGTGACAGTTGGCAGTGTGCTCTACGTCGCAACATTTTGATGCGGTCATGTCATCGTGTTTGAAAGGAGAGATGCACCCTGCTTGCATTTGCTCCAGTTGTCACACAAACGCCTCGAAGCGATGTTGAAATGTAAAATCCTCCAGCTGTGCATGTGACGCGAGTCCCTCTTGGCCCATATCCCCCTGTGCTGATTTGTGGCTTTGATTCCAGGCAGTGGGGCCACAGCTGTGGTGCAGGCAGCCCTGTGTACCCCTAGACAGGAGCGCGTGGCCATAAAGAGGATCAACCTGGAAAAATGCCAGACCAGCATGGATGAGCTGTTGGTGAGCACATTAATTAAATACGGGCTATTTTCTCAGCTTTGTATTTTCTTTCTCTGGGTTTTACTGCTACATTAACACTGGTAGCTGTGCACAGTATACTATTTTTAAATAATAAACATTTCTATGATCAAGATAAATCCTTAGATCTAAAAAGTTTGGATCTAGAATTTGCTTTATTTTCTTAAATGTTGTTGTTTTTCTTTTCCTGCAGAAAGAAATTCAATCTATGAGTCAGTGCAGTCACCCAAACATCGTGACCTACTACACTTCCTTTGTTGTGAAGGATGAACTTTGGGTGGTGATGAAGCTCCTGAGTGGAGGTGAGCTTCATATAATTCTAAAGAAATAATGCTAGAAATGGGAGTACAATTTATAAAAAAAAATTACATTAAGACCAATAGAAAGGTATAATATTAATACTGAGATTTTATATGAAATGTATGGTTTTTTTTAAAACCTGTGTAATCAGGCTGACTTGACAGTAGTACAGCAGCCAGGGAGTGTAAGCCATAAGGCAGGGGTCTGCAACGTGTGGCTCTTTTGCCCCTCCTCTGTGCCTCTTAATTGTGGCTATAAAGTAACAATAAGCCAATTAATAGTTTTGAATGCAGTTTAAAAACAAATACCAGTTTTAGAAGCTTTAGCAGTTTTTTAAAGGAACATTTCAGTTTAATTTTCACAATAGAATGACAGAATTGCCAGAAATATGTTTTAGTGTCTATTTTTTTGACAGTAGCTTGGCAATAATGTATTTTTTCTTCTTTTTTTTGTTACATATAAATAAAATCATATCTTATAGAAGAAAACCCACCCGTTTTATGAAATATTTATATTTTCTGTTGTTGAACCTAAAAGTACAAAAAAAATTCTTTTGGCTGTTTAAAATGTCTAAAGATTGCTTTCAGCATATATTTAACAAAAATAAGTTGTATAATAAGTCGTTTAAAATTCTTAGCTCAAAACTAGAGATGCACCTATCTGATACCTTGATCAGATATCGGCTCCGATTTTGACCAATATTCTGAAATGGATATCGGAGATCAGACCATTGGAGATCCAATTCCGTGTACTTAACATTAATCTGTTATTCCTTTCTTTTTGCTGCTTATGTATGCTTTATTTGTTCATAAGTGATGTAAAGTACATTTATATCTGTGTTCATTTGTTACCTTTTTTTAAAAACAATATTTATATTAAAAGCTAAAGCCTTCACTCACATGGAAGATATACGGTTCATTTACTAGACAATTGAATCGGATCGGTATCAGACATATGCTGTAGTCAGTGTTTTAGAAACCATCGTACTTACTGTTGCTCATTTATTCCAAATGCTTATTTCTAAATGAAAGTCAATTTTAAAATTCATTTGGAAATCAGGATCAAAAAGGCTGGGAAACACAGCATCTAAGTTGCTTTGTGTGTTGTTAGAGTTTTCACTGTTAGTGATGATTTAGGGAGCCATGTCATAAGTGAGCATTAGTGCAGTTTAACCAAATCTAGTTAGAGTTTTATATGTGAAAAAAAAAAACAAAAAGCATTTTTATGTGATTTTGGAATATTATATTTAGAAGAAACTCTTTTCTCTTTTATTGGGATCCTCCTTAACATGCTTAATTTCATAACTTTGTGGACAGCTTGGGTCTGTGGCAATGGCCTCTCTGGAGGATGTCAGTAACTGTTGGAGAGTCATCCCACAGCCTTTCCACTAACTGTTATTATCACATAGCATTGTTATATTAAAAGATCCTTGGCCTTGTGTTTTTAATTTAACATATTAATTGTAATAGTTGTGCAACCTAATTCTGTTAAGGAAGGAAATTCAGTAGAAATTTCCGAGTTTAAGCAACACCTAGTACCACCTACCAAAATTTGGTTTCAGTCAATCACTGTAACAAATGAAACAGCAGCAGATGCCATAGGAAAATATAAGTTACACTTTAATGCTCCTGCAGGCAAGAATCCACAATCATAAAACTTAACAGTAATTTATATTTGAACTATATACCTGAGTGTGTTATTATAATGATGTGTTTTATTTATGTGAAATCATAAATGTTTTCCAAAGAAATCTCATCTACTGAGATGCACAACTATTTGCTATAATATTATGTTCTTGCAGGTCTCAGTTAAAAAGACATTAAAACATGTGCTACTGTTTGCAAAATATTTTTTCTTGTGCCTTGTGTCGTCTAGGCTCCATGCTGGATATAATTAAACATTCAAGCAAAGAAGAGGATAAAAATCTCAGAGCTTTTGATGAGCCCATTATTGCCACGATATTAAAGGAAGTTCTAGAGGGCCTGGACTATCTCCACAGAAATGGACAGATTCACAGGTAACACTTTAGGCTTGCTGTCATTTATTCTTTCTAAATTAAAGGTCATCCTAATAAAAAGCTACCCTGAAAAATGTTTTGGTGAAATAGTTACTTGTTTTTTTTGAAAGCCAAAAAAAGCAAACATCAAAGAAATTGGGATGAAACTGATTAATGAGCGGCAAAAGTAAAATCCTAAACTGAAACAAAGTGCTCTTTGTGTTGTTCTGTGCGCGTCCTGGATTTCAAGGTCAGTTTAAGTGGGGGGGCGTAAACGTCCATAAGCCCCTTGGGCAGAGTTCTAGATTGTCATGGTCAGTGGGATCTGTTAACATGAATCGAAGAATTGATGCCCTTGCATGTGCTGTGATGTTTCATTGAATTATTGTTTTGTTGACCTCAGGGATGTGAAAGCTGGAAACATCCTGCTGGGAGAAGATGGATCTGTTCAGATTGCAGGTTTGTTGTATTATTGCTTTCTCCTCTGCTTGTTTTCTTCTTAAAGGGCCTTCCTAATTTACAATACAGGTTAGAGCATTCATTTCTGAGGTTTAAATGGATCTATTTTTTAAAATCATATTTGCATCACTTTGACTGCATTTATTTGAAAAACAAAAAACAAAAAAAACTGCTTAGATTATGTATTTATGGGTGAATTTTAGTTTCTGCATGGCACCCAAAACTATTTTACTTTATCTGGTGGCAAGCATCAATAATCTGCAACATTTGGGTTCAGTTCAGGAATTGAAATGGAAAGTTTTCACTATCTTGAAGTGGAATTTCCATGATTCATCCAGGGCATGGAAGATGTGAGGACAGGTTTTTCTGCATAGCTTTTACAGAGGATGTTCCTGGTTTGGGTAAAATTCCATATAAGAAGGAATGTGGCTCCATGGACCGGAATTCAAAACCAGATATTTACAGTTTATGTTATTTTGATGACTTGGACATCTGTAGTATTGATTATGCTGGGTTGGTCAGCTGGAATTAAAGAGGGACGGTTTATCCCATGATAAGAGGGAGCCTTGTCACGCCAGTATGGATCTGTCACCATCAGAGCACAACAAAACGACCGAAATATTAGAATTCTTTTGAATTAAAATCTGAAGGAAAATTGACCATCTTTTTAACCCTGTTTTAACATAAATCTATATTTTATTAAGAATATTTAACAGTAGTTCTGCCTTTTATAAATTTCCACTAAGTGTCTAAATCCAGCAAACTCAAATATTATTTAAATGTTCCTGAAAAAAAATCTCATTTTTGTTTGTTGGTATCAGCTTTTTGTTTTGTTCTATACAGATTTTGGTGTAAGCGCTTTTCTAGCTGCAGGGGGCGACATGACGAGACACAAAGTTCGAAAGACTTTTGTTGGGACGCCGTGCTGGATGGCTCCAGAGGTGATGGAACAGGTGAGTCTCATTTTAAATGACAATGGCTGTTGATTTTGAAATATATTCTCCTCTGTGATGTTTGTTTTGACCTTAATATCTTGAACTTCCATCAGTTGCTTCCATAGTTATTGGCTTCTACTGTAGAGAACGATAAAGCACATGCAAATAAATTTATATTTAATTTGAGTAGCATAGACTTATAATAAAATAAGTCATGATCTACAATCATTGTCCTGCCCACTTCATATGTTGACATAAAAAACCTTGGTCCGTATTTAGTATAATAGGTCAAATTCCCTGTTCTTAGCTGTATTAAATTATTGCTTTGACTGCAGGTATGGGGGGGCATTTACAAGTTGCTACTTTTCCTTAGCCACTTTCAGACATGTCATGCATACCTACCATATGTGATTGGCATGTTCTGTTATCCTTTTTTCTTGGCAAAACAGGAAATCCCAAAAATCACTGATTAAAAATTCTATGAGACTTTGATAAATGTTTTGTGTGCAAAAAAAAGAAAAGTAAGCCAGATTTCTCAACTGACAAAATAACAAAAAATTAATTAAGAAGGGATCAAATAAAAAAAAGAATACATTTGAAAAATAAACAGTAGCAAGAAGGAATATTAGAACATCAGCTTTCGACCTGGGATCTTGTTCAAATGTTTTTGTTTTTTTTTAACATTAGATGATTTAGGCTTTTACAGAACTTTATCTGGCATGTGAATACATACAGAAAACGTTATATGCCCCTAATGTTTGAGTTATACTGATCACTAAAAATGTTGCTTTTAAAGAAATCTACTGAGATATGAAGGCCTTACATAAACCTTATTATTTATATGACTTCACTTCTGCAGGTTCGAGGCTATGATTTCAAAGCAGATATTTGGAGTCTTGGAATTACAGCAATAGAGTTAGCAACAGGCTCTGCACCTTATCACCGCTACCCTCCAATGAAGGTGAGTGTTATGGACAAAGCATTCATTCATTTTTTTAGATTTGCACACAATATCAACATTAGCATCTTTTTTAGCCGATGTTGGTCATTATTAATCATATGATATCACTCCAATAAGTAGAATGGGGCCGATGTTAACAACCAGTGTATTTTCCATCTAGTTACTGCTGTTTTTGTTTCAGGAGGGGGTGGGGAGGGGATTGGTCATGTGACAGTGATGCAGTGGAGGATTATGGGTGTTTTACTGAAACAAAGCAATGTCAGAGCTGTGGTTAGTGTTTCATAGTTTCCAAAGGGTGGGGAGTACATACTGTGGCATCTGCCCATAATGACAATATTAATACTTGATATTTATATCTGCCCAGATTTTTCATATGGGTGAATCCCTTATTAGTTTTATTGTATTAATTTACTTGAATTGCCATAATAAATAACAAGACCCATAGGTCTTAGCCATCCAGTAGCATCCAGTCTTATGCACAGATTCATATTCAATAACATCAAGATTGATTTGGCCCTTGTCATATTACAATGTTTTCATGTCCAGTGCAGAATGCCAGTGAGTAAACAACTAAGTAAAATCATGCAGTTTCATTAGTTCAAACATTTTTTATTCCCTCTTTCTTTTAAAAATCCAAATATGTAATAAGATGTCATGTATCTGAAAAATCCTTCCTTTATTTCCTTTTTTTTTTTTAATCTATCCCAACAAGTTTTTCTGTGGCTGCTGTTTGGACATGTGGGTGTTTAAAAAAACAAACAAACAATATTCTTTATGCTTTCAGGTTTTAATGCTTACTCTACAGAATGATCCACCCACCCTAGAGACGGGTGTTGAGGACAAGGAAATTCTCAAAAAATATGGAAAATCATTTCGAAAGCTTATAACAATGTGCCTTCAGAAAGATCCTGCAAAAAGGTTTGTACCAAGACATATACCATTAGATCTGTCAAAGATTAGAGCCGAGGCAGTGTGGGCTCAATGATGAGTTGAAACTTTTAGAGTGCTCCATTTCTGGACATTTATAGTCATTACTTTTCTTTCAACGCCATACAGTTTAACAATCAAAGCCTTTCTTAAGTTTGCATTACTTATCTTAGAGCTCTTATTTTTATGAGCACTCTTGAGTCTATTATTTTAGTTTTTTTCCAATGGCATTTCTCTGTTTTATCTTTAGGCCTACAGCATCTGAGCTTTTGAAGTGTAAATTCATCCAAAAGGCTAAGGTATGTGTTTCATCTCAAATATGTGGCGTACTGTCTCTGTTTGGTTTTGTTATGAATATTTTGCTTGTGGAGAGAAGCCAGCTGTTCAAGTGGCTCAGAACGTGCGCTCTGGAAGATTTGTGCTTATTTCTGATGGTTACTCATGATTTCATTCAGCACATATTAAGATATTCTCAAAATATGTAAGTTATACCTGCCTGTTGCGATTCAGCTGTGTTGTCATGCAAATCTTCCCCATGGATGCCTGCACAGTCATAGAGGAAATTGCCAGGTTGACATTTATGCAGCAGGCAACTATAGTATCTAACATAAAAAAAAGTTAAGCCACAAAAAAAATCGTTGCTTAAGAACCTGCTTCTTCATAGTGCATCTTCACAGCATAATAACGTAAAGCATAGTGAAAGGAAAGGGTGTGGGAGTGTGGAGTAGAAGTATTCAGAACTACTAGAGGCTCGGGTTTATCAATGGAGTATTTAACTGGTTTGCATTGTTAAATCTGGCATCTTCTTCTTGACAATCCACATAGATTCTCTGTTTTGTACATTTACAGGTCATTTCAACACAGCTAATAACAATGCAGGTAGTACTTTTTGGTGTACAGGTACCAAGTTGTGCTGGAAAATAAAATGCACATTTCCATAATGCTTGTCAGAAATGGGCTTACATGTTTACATTGGATTAGGAATTGATAAACGAGTGGAGCAACTCCGGGAGGTAAAATGATTTTTCGAATCATCGCTTACTGTGGTATCTTCACCTTCCACCTTAAGCAACTTGGATTATGTACCTCTTCACTACTTCTCCAGATTTTGGGAAAAATAAGTGAAACATTGTTATTGCGTTGCATTTAAAGTATTCCTGCAGCTGTAAGCCACATGACATCTCTGAAGAGTCACAAGCCTTATTCCATAAAATGATAGCTATCAGAACTTTAGATAATTTGCAGATTTGACAGCATGATGGATGGGTGATTATCAGCGTTGTATTGGGTAGAGGATGCACATTTCAGTTGGGGTCTAATTTAGCTGTAATTTGCTGCAGAGGGTGTAACATTTTCAGATGTAGAACATGGATAATCTCTAAATTAACTGCCAAATATCCTCTTGCAATACTGATTAAATTAAGACTTTAAATATGATTTAGAAAGATTAATCTTAAGGTCTCACTGTTCACCCTCCAGCTGATTCACTTATCATGTGTTCTTTAAACTTCCATGTCCAATGTTTGCTAAAATCTGAATGCTTTTTTTTACAGATAACTAACCACTTGTGGTTTTCATGCCTTATTATTCAGCTCTGATCATTTTTTTGTGTCGCCTTATTTCATCTTGCAGAACAAAGAATATCTTGTTGAAAATCTTTTAAGTCGTGCACCAAAGATTTCTCAAAGAGCAAAAAAGGTATGTTTAAATGTTTTTTTGCCACATGTATGAACATTGTTCTTGCTTAAACATGAAGAAAACATGTGGATAGGTAAACTACTTTCAATCAGGACGTTGAATTTACAGTCAACACAACGTATGCACTCTGTCTTCTTTTGGCACCTTCAACACCTTTTGCCCTGTTGTGTAGATTACGTTAAAATGCGGGCCACAATCACATAAGAGTCACGCTGTGCGGATCCACTGAGCCAAGTGTTAGGGTCACTTTAAGAGCAGCTTCCTGCATATGTCAAGACAAACCTGGATAAATGGATTGTTAATATTAGGTTGAAAATCTGTTATGGGGAACTTGGAGGAAGTGCAGTTTTTTAGGCACAGCTGATGTCGACTTTATATAATAATCCCCCTGGATGCCCGGGACTCAATGGGATCAGAGGTCTGGGCAGCTGAGTGGAGGGGTGGAAATTCACTGACATGGTTTAGACTAAATAGAGGGCATAGTAGACAGCATTAGTGTGTGTGACGTTGCAGTTACGCACAAACGGGTAAGATGTCAGGAGATTGTTGATGGTTTATGTGTAAAATACAGACTGAGCTTTGGTAACAATAACAGAGGGAAATGATACAGGCTTCTATAATATTCAGGAGTTCTACTACAAGCACAAATGCCACGCTTTGCTAATTAACAACCGTACTATTATGTAAATTTAAAAGAAAAAGAAGCTTCAGTTTTTCAGAATATAACCTTGTTGGCCTTTGGATTTAGACATTTTTAAAAACAAGGAATACTGACATGGCTGCTCAGTGGAACAGTGTGTAGCTCTGCTGCCTTGCAGCAAGAAGGTTCTGGGTTCGATTCCCGGCCCTGGGTCTTTCTGCATGGAGTTTGCATGTTCTCCCTGAGCATGCGTGGGTTCTCTCTGGGTACTCCGGCTTCCTCCCACAGTCCAAAAACATGACTGTTAGGTTAATTGGCTTCTCTAAATTCTCCTTGGGTGCGAGTTTGTGCGTGAATGGTTGTTTGTCTCTATGTTGCCCTGCGATGGACTGGTGACCTGTCCTGGGTGTACTCCGCCTCTCACCCATTGACTGCTGGAGTTAGGCACCAGCACCCATTGCGACCCCACTTGGGAGTAAGCTTGTTAGAAAATGGATGCATGGATGGATGAATACTGACATGCAAAGGTACTTTTGGGCATTATTACATATTTGGGAAAATGTTGTCTTAGCAAGTCCCTTTACATTTGCAGTGCTATGCAAAAGTTTTAGTTTTTTTTTTTTTTGGAATGAGGCTCTATTAAAGAAAATGTTGCAGCAAATAATGTTTTTGGTGCTTTTAGATTTCATAGTCTAAATAACTGGAAAGGTTTGAAGCTAATGTCCAGTTTGTTCTGTTACTGCTGTTTTATTCACCTTCAAAATTATTTAACCTTTGAGCTGATTGTTCACCAGGACATAGAGGAATACTTTCACAGGAAGTGAAAGTAGGAGCCTCTACAACACCAGAGAATTTCTGGTATAAAGCACCTACTTGAAACAAAACATGAAAATAAAATCTCTTCTACTATACAAGTATAAAAATCCTTCAAAATCCATAAAATACATTTCCCTTTAATACTTATATTTTAGGTGAAAACAGAAAAAACACCAGTGTAGGGCCATCCGCTACCTCCTTTTCCTGTGGTAACCCACCCAAGTCTAACAGCATTTTGAGTCTTAGAATTGTCTTAATCTGGTAAAAGTCTTCTTTTCTCTGGGTTTGGTATGACTGGCTGTCAGCTTCTTGGAAGAAACTAATCTGGATTTATTTATTTTATTTATTTTGAATGAGCAAGTCAGAGCTATCTACTGCAGGCTGAATATTGCCTGCTTAGCTTTTAAACAGAACCATTTTGCACAAGGTCTCAATTCTGTTTTTCAAAGCTTATTAATCTGGGTCCCTGGATGAGGATTTTCGTTTTTGAATCCGCTTATATAACGTTTCTTCAGACTTTTCAAAGGTCAAAGGTTTTCTTTTGCAATTTTATTATTTTGTATTTACAGATGACTCAAATTATAAAATGCTCTAAACGTTTGACAAAACAGTAGTATGTCTATATGACAATGTAGCAAAAACAAAACTTAGATTTGCTTTTAAGCACTTTCTTTTTGCGCAGTCTGCTGATAATGACAGAATTAGTTCCCCTTTCTATAAACGGAGGCCATCAGATACAGTACAAAGACAACTTGAAATGAAGTTGAACAGTGGTGTCAGGCCCCACTTCCCTGCATGTTTCAGATGTGCCCCTGCTCCAGCAGACCTAATTTAATGGTTTAACAACAGAAAGGGCTTCTGTTGTCGACTAACAACTTAAAGTGTAATGCATATCTCGTGTTTTGTGTCAGGATTTTTGAAACAAATCTGCTTCCATTTCTTAAAAACCTGAGTTTAAGATACTGCTCATCTGCTTTGTTTATTATCTAATTACATCCTGCATTATAACAGATATAATCCATTACAATGACTTGGTAGTTTAATAAAAAAAAGGATAAAACTAGAGGAAATGTTTAAAATTTTATTGTAAAAGTCATTGTTAAATGATTACTAGCTTTCTGTAAAGAATGAAACATTGTGCAGGATTCATGCAGTTAAAGTAAGGTTGAATTCTGTTGATGACTTTGGTTGTAGGAGGTTTGCATCAGAGGTGATGCCCTTGCTATTTTTTGTGTCTTTGGCTAAAAGTCATCTAGAATTATTAACTCAGCAACATTGCCCAAAGCCTACAAAGACAGGCAGTACTGCAGAAACTCTACCACCCCAGGATATTGTGACCTTAACTGCTCGCAAACCGCTCCGTTTGCCTCCTCTCTTTGCACAGTCTCCTTAAATCTCTCGACCTTCTTAATCTGCAGCATTTCCCCTCGGCCATTTCACTCCTGTTGCTTGGCATTCTGGGGTTTTATGCTCCTACTGGTGTTAGTTTGTCATGCTGAAAATATTGCCGTCTAGGGAACTAAAGCTGATAGAGTTTAAGAGAAAAGACCTCGAGCTGTACAACTAGAACACCTCACCTCTCATTTTACAAAGGAATGAGAAGGAGATGACAGATCCTGTCAACAGGAAGGTAATCAAATATGTTATCTAATGTTTGGAATTAAAGCCATAAAAACAAATACTGGATGGGAAAAATATGTGGAAATGTTAGATCAGGTAAGGAATGTTGCATATAAGAATTTAATGTTAATAAAAGCAAGTTTTTTTTTTTAGTGGGGTGGGTTATTTTTGAGGAGAATAATCAACCTAACCAGCAGATGGCGCTCAACACACACAAAATATCCTTCAAAATCTGCTTTTTAAATGTTCAATACTGCAACAAATGTGAGGATGAATGATCAATTTACTACATGATAACAAAGCTCCAGAAACATAAAACAGATTTATAGTGAGTTTTATTCTATGGTCTAGTGGGTATTCAAAAACTTATTGAACTCAAAACGATGTTTTCTAAAGGCTAACTCTGAAAAAAGCTATTAATCTAGAATTTGCCAATCAGTCTGGATTTGTTTTGGTCAAGTACCAAGAGCACAACTGTGGGAGCATTTGTTTAAAGAAAATATTGGTAAGCTCTATAATGTTTACCCAAAATACCTTAGAATATGAATGTCTTGTAAGATCATATCATGAACATTTTATCACATTGCAGCCAAAATTTGAAAAGGATTTTATTTCCATCTACCAACAGTAATAACAGTTTCAAAAAATCTCTTTGTAAATACAGCATCTCTCAGTTTTATAGCCAAAGCTGATATCACCATATATTTCTGAATATCACTCAATTCGATATAATTTCGATTTTTACATAAACAAAATAAAAGTCTCAAAAAGTCCAGCACAGATTCCTGCACAAATATACAACAATTATTTGACCATGTTCATAAAACTCATTCAATAAGATATTTTAACATGTTTTAAACTGAAACCGTAAAAATACTCTAACATTCTGTAATCACAGACTTTAATGTATATTGAATTGTTGAATTGATTGAATAAAATTTTTTTGGACATATATCTGATATAGAATTATTGTCCACCTCTTTTTAAACAAACTAAATCAGTTTCAGGAAAGAGGAAAACTGTTACTTTTAAGTGATTTTTAAATCCTAACAGTACAGTATTCATTTGCTACTATAACCCCCTTTAAATAGTTCCCCCTCAATAAAATAAAAACTTACCATCATCTTTAAAAAAAATCCCACCCACAGTAAAACATAGGGTTGGTGCTCTTCTTTAGCAGAGAAAGACAGGGAGAAGATGGAAGGATTGAAAGGAGCTAATTATATGGAAGTCTTGGAAAAAAGCCTTTTTAATGTTCGCAAAAAAACCTGCAGGTTCCATGACCCTAAATATGCAGCCGTAATTCGTTTTAGAGTTAAAAGCTAAAAACTTCCGGCAAAAAGGTTTGGACGATAGATGTGCAAAGCTGGTGCAGCCCAAAGACATGTTTTCAAATGTAAAAAAAAGTGTCCACCCCTCAATAACATGAAAACATCTCCAAAAGGTGCAGGTTTTTGATTATCATCTGTCGAACTACAAAGTTCATGAGCCACGAATACATGCATACATGTGAGCTTGGTGGAAAGAACCCTTTAATATTAATGTGTGTTTCTCTGATAAAGGTGAGGAGAGTCCCCGGCTCTAGTGGCCACCTGCACAAGACGGTAGACGGAGACTGGGAGTGGAGCGACGACGAACTGGACATGGGCAGTGAGGAGGGTAAAGCGGCGGTGAATCAGGGCAGGGTACGTGAGGTACTACAACTAGACTACTTTCTTTCATAAAAAAAGTAGAGAGTTACAGAGCAAGGTTGCATCAAAACAAGTTATTCTGGTGTTTTATGTGAAGCAAAAACCAGCATGAAACCTTCCCCCTCTGTCTTTGACACCACTCATTCCTTCCCTAGTTGATCAGTTAGTTTTGTAGATAGCAGATGGCTGAGAGAGTCTGTCTAGAGTTTACTGTAATGAGCTGGAAGATGGTTATAAGTATAGCAGGCAGGGGGAAGCAGGGGGCATTGATCAAAGAGCCCTTTGATGAAGATGACTAGAGAAATAGCTGTAATGTGTGATGTAATAAATCACTTTTAAGTACTGAACTAAAAAGTAAATTGCTGCTGAAGGAATATCACTTAGATTTCCTTTAATTTATCTCTGGCATGCTGAGTAGAAATGGTTTCACCATTAAAGAATGAAGAAGTAGATACTGACAGAGATGTGAATGAGATGCAAAACGTGGAAAATGAATGAAGTGTGTGTAATTGATTATTATGGCTCTAACTTTCTAAAATGTGTGATTGTTATCAGTAGCAGAATGGATGAACATGTGAATATGTTTTTTTTTTTCCTCCAGTCACGAAGGGTCAAATATGAGGCCAAAGACGTAAGTTAGATCCTCGTCTTATATCTTTAAAATTAAATTAAAATTCAGAATATTTTTCTCACTTTTCCTTTAGTAAAGAGGCGTTTAGTTATCCCATAAAAACAGCAAGTTGTGCAGCATTACAGCTAGAAATCTAGTTGAAATGCAATTTTTAGAATATGATTTTTGTTAGAATTAAAAGAAAAACCTTAAATTTAGGGCAATTTCACCTACATTTTGTGTACATTTTCATATTTTTTTGTAAATATTTTAAAGCCTTATATTGTTTTTATCCATATTTTTCTGGGGTTTTTTTCTAAGATGATCTTTAAATTCACAATTTTCACAACTATGCCTCTCATCTTCTTCCTCCTAGAATGAGGAAGATGCCAACAATGTCCCTATAGAAGGCTTGTCTGTTCAGCATCCCCAGGTGAGGGATTCAGCAGAAGCAGCACTAATTTGTCATGATTCAATGACCTTGATGCTGCAATGATTGTCTGTGTGTGCATAAAGTACATGTGCAGCTGTGTGTGTGTTAGTGTGTCTGTCTGTGTGTCTAAATGTGAAAGTATCTGTCTCTAGGATGGATGCTCTCAGCAGTAATAACTCACAGAAAATGGCTGTCTGCCTGATAGTGCCAGCACAGTGGCCTAGGTGTATCTCAACTAAAGACTTACTACCATTACTAACACATTTTTGAAGGCTTTTGTCATTGTTAAGGTGAGCCAGAGCAGTTTTAGTGGTGGTCTTATGTCCCACTTAGAAATGAACTGGGCAGCTATATCTTATCTGCATTTTTAAATCTTTCTCACATAAATGATAAAAAATAATATAGTGTCATAATAGTATCGTATGACTATCACATATTATACCTTTGTGCCTTGTTCCTTTGCTTTTTCCCTTTAAAATTTCCCTTAAGATAAAAAAAAAAGTGGATTCAGTCTTACTGTTTATTATAGATTTGTCTCTTCATTCTGAAAACATGCTAATTTTCCATTGCATGACGTAATTTTTTATAGCCTATCAGACATAAAAACAGATTAATTCCCAGGTATTTTTGATGCAGGTGGAGCCATATGAGAATACACCCTTCATTGAAGGTCCTATGAACATGGTACTACGACTACGGTAAGGCTCAACATAGTTTCCTATATTAGTCACATGGCAAAATACATTCAGTATCTCCGAAAATTATTCCTTAAATTTTCCAATTTGAGACTGAAACATTTATTAGACTTTTTGGGGAAATTCTTAAAAGTGGAATGCTTTAGTTGTAATGCCAGCAGTCAATACTTTTGTTGAGACAGTTTTAATTGCAATAACACACAAAAGTCTTTAGAGGTACAGTACGCCTAGAGACTTAGATATGCTAACTTTGCACATGATGACACTAGAATCTTTGCCCTTTGTGAAATAGTTTGTCTATTCAGATACTATGAAGAGAGGTTTCAAAAGAACTTAGGTATGGTATTTGATGACACTAACACTTGAATGTGATTTTCGTCTAAATTCCTCCTTGATAGTTTTAACTGTAGCCCAGTGTTTGTGCCAAAAGCTAAATGTCGTCTGGAATCATAAGTTTATGATAAGGTTTCCCTTCGTCTGGTTTATCAGTTACGTTGATATTAAAACCTAACCCTGCTTTGAACTTTTCTTGCAGCTTTTCCATTACTTTAAAGTTCTATTCCTTGGTCTTTGTGCTGGTGAAGATTCCCAGTCATCCAGGTCATAGTCATTAAAAAAAAAAAGAAATTAAAAACAATCCACTGGACTTTGTTTCCAAGTTTGAAGACGTTTCGCTTCTCGTCCGGGAAGCTTTTTTAATTCCAAATGTTCTTTGTAATGCTGTGTGCTTAGACCTCTAACGGATTCCCTTCCAGATTTTTTCAACTAAAAAAAATGTAAATCTACATAAGTCATTTTTTTAATAAAAATAAGTGCATTTTTTCTTGAATTGAGGACGTAAGGGAGACTCTTTGCCAATGGAACAAGACAATTCACATTTACAATAAGCAAAGAACAATTGCAATATCTTATTTCAAGTGCATTATATCCAATTATCTTATTTTAAGATTAAAAATCCTCATTCCATTGGCAAATCATCTTATTTACCTAATCTAATTAAGGGTAAATACACTTAATTTAAGAAATTTTTTTCTTTATTTTGATAGTGTCACACTATTAAAGACAAAAGATGGCAAATGTTTCATTTTTGTTTTTAGAGTAAATGGGAGCTTAACACAAATGCATGGGGCACTTTTCAGATATTTATTCATTCACAATGAGGTGCATTAAAAGTTCAGTCATCCCAATAAAATACATTGAATTTTGTGATACAGAAATTGCTTCTATAAACAGCACTTTGAAAATTGTAATTTTTCTCCAATATCTTCTCACATCTTGTGAAAATTCAGCAATGTAACATAAAACATTGGAATATAAATATGTCTTTTAAGTGTTTTTTTCTTTAAGTCGCATTCTTTATCTCAACCGTAACAACAAGGCATTTTATTATTGCATGAACTGGAAATATGGCTGTAAGTTACTAGGTTTTATATGCTGCATTTGCTTTCACTTACTTTCCTTAACATCACAGTCTTTTTTCTGGCATGTATCCATATGTTGAAGTGAAGAATTACCATTCAGCCAGTAATTTAATGCTAAATACTCTGCTGGTAATAGTTGACTAAATTCAGTAGCTCAGTTTGATATACAGTTAAAGGTAAAAAGTGATGTTACATGTTATCTACTCTGTTGATCGTTTTAAAAGAAACGTAGATTAAGCTAACCAGAATTTGACGCATAGAAATGGACAACCGATTGTAGGTTTTTGGATTGTTCACAGCCTCCAGCTCCCTGGTGAGCCAGTTGCCAAGTGCTGATACGCTCATGCAGACATCTAAGGGCCCCCCTCCGGGCGTCAGGCACAGCACAGATTTTTTCGTATTTATATTCAGCAACAACACATACTTTAGGTCCAAAAACAACAGGTGGCAGCTTGCTGTTTACTGGAAAGAGTGAGCACTTCAGTGTTCAGCACTCTGTTTCCTTTAGCTCTATAATGTAGTTGTGCTTACATACAGATAAAAACAATCAACATAATAGACCCAATAAAGCGAAAGCATCTTGTTTTCTTATTCATTTAGCAATAGCATCTGTGAAACAAATTTTAATTAGAAAGACTAATGTGAATAAAAAAAACACATAAACTATAGATGTTATTGAAAAAACTTCCATGATGCCATTATCAGCCTTTACTCCAGCCATGTTTTTGGTTTATTGAAGCAATATCCTTTTGTTTGATTTGAAAACAATAACAAATTTATCTTATAATAAGGAAAACTCTCTTTGTATTATAAATGTTTCTTATGTCATATTTAATGTTTTTTTTTTCAGTTTTTTATAATGAACTAATTTCAGCAAACTTGATTTTAGAAACTGAATTAAGGCTTTATTTCACAGTTCACATTTTATTTACTCAGCTTACATTTTATGGCAATTTTGACTTCATTACAGATCTAATGTGTGTCTGATTTTCATTTCTCTGCTCTGAATAACATAAATTAGAATGCATATTTTTGGTTAGTTTTAGCTGTTTTCCCATTGACATATGTATTGTAAAGCAACCCTTAATCATTCGTAATCGTACTAAGTATGGTGTGGCTAGTGGGCAGCTGAGGTGCAGATGTGCAGCTTAAACTTCACCTTTTCCAGACCAAACAACGTGTAGCTCTTTAGTAAAATGTTTCGGAAGAAAAACTAGACAGATAGAAAAAAACCTTTGTCGGTTTGTAGAAGTACAGCTAAAGAGAACTTATACTGTTCAGCATATACTTTCCCAGTGTTGCAAAAAAAAAGTGGTGTTTCCTTAGATATATTTCCAGTTTTAAAGATATAATAAAAATGAAATTTAATGGAAATATTTTTTTCCAAAACAATGTATTACAAATGGGTTCAAAACAGAATAATAATTCTGTAAAAAAAACTTTTAATTCCTGGATTTCTCAGTTAAAAATAAACATAGAGTTGCTCTTCATATGCAGGTGAGGAATGTTTCAAACAGTTTTTGCCATTAAGATTTTTTAGAGGAAAATAGTCGACAACAGCACCATTCTGATTATTTTAAATTGGATTTAGAGACAGCATTTAGAAGTCCTGGAAAAACGGCTACAAACAATTTAAAGTGGAAATATGGTTGTCATGTCATTGAATTTTAAATATTCAATACAAGACAGAAGCAACTGAATCCTGGGCTCACATTTCTCTGTGCTTAAAACAACCTGGTATAGGAAAGACAGACTCACATAAATGTTAGCTGTGCTAGCTAGACATCGTGTTATTATTGCTTTTTAGAGCAACATGGTTATTTATTCTGGTCATTGATCCCAAGCTGTATCAGCCAATCATCTGAACAGACATCCTAAACTACATATTTAACATATTTAATTTAAGGATTATTTTGACAGACTTCCTTTTACCTTTTAAAAGGATACACTTGAGTCAATGAGATGGAGAATGTAGACTGAAAAATTTGAGGCTTTGCAAAACAGGGGCAAGAATATTCACAATTTTATAACAGATGTAGGTATTAAATATTACATCTATAGCTTTATGGTAGCTTTAAGAGCCATTATTATGGTGGTATATGGTACATATTTTGAAGGATTAAATCATTTTGGAAGCATTTGGATAAAATTGAATTAGGCGAACCATTTAAATGTTTGTGCTTGTACCATTTTTGTTGCCTCTTGTGTTTTTATTCTTTTGCTTAATCTAGTTTGTATAATTTCAACTTAAAAGTTGGCAAAGCCGTCAAACTGAATCTCCAAGATCTGATATTTTCTGGCCAGAAAGTGCACCATGAAAGCTGATCGCTGATAATATTAAACTCTTCAAATTTTATGATGATCCCTTCATCAATTCCATCCTATGAAGGGCATCCATGTTAGACAGTGGCTGCATGGACTATCCAGTATTTTCCAGTTTTGTGTGGCTCTAAAAATCTTTGGTTTTATCTAGAATCTAACAATAAAAAAGACTCAAAATAACCAAGATAAAGTCAGAGGGAGAAAGAAGAAGGAGGCTTTTTAAAAGGGAAACTGGATTTTCTAAAATGGACTGTCAGCTGTTCATTTTGCATTCAGTTTGTATCACAAGTCAGAGATTTTATCTAGAAATCTAGTTTAGTGTGTTCTTCCAGCAAGTTGGGAAATCTGTGGAATTTGCTAATTTTAGTGCAAAAAAACCCATAGAAGTAATTTAATTATGCCGATGATAATATTTATATACAGGAAATTAGACCTGCATCTTTCAAAATTTACAAAATTATATATAAAGGTGTTAAGTTGAAAACAATAATTTATCAGTTTTTATTTATAAAAAGGTGTATAATATATATATATACTTATACTCTACTTAATATTTAATTGAAAACATTTAGTTTGGTATTACAGAAGTCAAACAAACCCTTCCTATTCCTAACTGGCTATATATTTCCAGTTGTGTTTTGAAGATTTCAGGTCCAAGTCTTTTAGGTCAGACAGACTTCCTCAGCAGCCCTTTAATATTTTCTTCCCTTTGCATATCACTTCCAGCCAGAAGAAATATTGGGGTAGAATTAAAAGATTAAACTTCAATCTGCCAGGGGTGTGAAACATGGGAAGGTTTACTTGTGTTAAGTTTCAGGTATATTTTTTTTTAGCACTTTTTATTTTCTTTATTGTTTGAACATATAAAATTGGGATAAACTTAACATGAACAAACATATCTTTCACTCACCATTCAGACTGCTTTTTTTCAAAAAACAGCATTTTTTTTTTTTTACAGATAACATATATTAAAACTGCTATGTTTTTATCTTTTTAGCTTCAACCTTTCTCTTTTGGAAAATACAGATTTTAAAAAACTAAGGTCCAAACTGATTGCTGCATCTTTACCTGTCGGTTCTACTGTCGGCATGTGGAAGCTGGCCTTTACAGATAAACAACTGAAACGTCCTCAGTGGGTCGACTGTTATATTCTCCATCATTTTTGAAGGTTTGAAATAAGGTTATATGCACTTCCTACACATATGACCAAAATAAAACCGTGTTGGTGGTGCTGCCTTTTCTGTGATTCTTCAGAATCAT